GAGAAGGAATGTAGGACAGTTTCTACAAACGTTTGATGAATGAGGACCCAGAAACGCCAGAAAACATGTGCAAGAAATACCGGATGAAGGGCAAATGTTAGATGTTTCTCCACTCCTACACACGTGAGTAATTAACAGGCCTGTGCAGAGTTTAATGTGGTAAGGAGAATATTAAGTTACTCCATTCAGGTGTGGTAGAGCAGAAAACAGAAAACTAGCAGGATGGTAGTCCCTCCAGGACTGGAGCTGCTGGAACTTTGGCTTTAATCACATAATTCCTTTAAGGTGGATAGGAAGAAAGGCTTGAAGATGGTTGTCACGACTCCTGAGTTCCTGGGTTAATTTAAAATAAATTTAACTTATCCTGGTTCAGCACCCTAGATAGCGCCTTCCAGCTCTTGCCCCTCTATGCTGTTCAGAGGATCAGCACCACGGAGAGGGGCACGCTGAGACTCCTCTGCACCTGCCTGCCTGCAGACACCAGCTGCGAGTGATCAGCAATCCCTCTACAAAATGGAGCTGCTGCAGTTCACTCGAGGAGTTTCAGAATGGGAAAGAAAGAAGTCAAGAGGGAGGCAGTAACAAGGAGGAGTGGTGCACTTCCTGGGGTGCAGCGGTTTCTTTGCCCAGTACCAGTGTGGGTTTCGGCAAGAGGGTTCCACTATGGATGCGGTAGGGCCCTTAGATCTGGAGGTCAGGTGGGTTTTAGCGAACAAGGAGGTGGTCTTGGCTGTGTTCCTGGACATAGAGAAGGCCTATGATATGCTGCAGAGGGATGGGCTGCTGGTGTCTCTGTACAGAGCTGGGGCGCAGGGGAGGATGTGACGGTGGATCAGGGACTTCCTATGTGACAGAACAAACCAGGTGGGTTCGGTGCTATCCGAGTTGGTTAGGGTGGAGAATGGGGTTCCACAGGGCAGTGTGACATGACGAAATGGCCTGATTTTGAGATCCCATGGGTCATATGCACAGCAAGGTCAACTTGCCCTGGCTATCAAACATCCTACGTATATTTTCCCCTGACAGGAGTCTCGAAGTCTGCACGTAGCCCCTTTAATCAGAGTCTACTTCCTCACACCAGCTGGACTGCAGAGATAATAAAGAAATAAACAATAAGAATTTTGTCCTCCAACGTCCATCACAGGAACTCTCTTAAATAAACTCCATTAATCCCAGATGAAGAAGAAAAGAAGATTTTTATAATTAAAAAAGAATCATTGAATGAACTTTTGTTATTGCAATTCATAGTAATGATAAATAATGAAATGCTCATTAATCTGTGCTCAATGATTGTTTTAGTATGCTTACTTGACGAGGTCATAAAATTTGCGCTCAGAGTAAGGTTAAGTTAAAAATGCATGACACACAGGTAACCTTTTGCCTACATTCAGGGTCTCCATCACAGAAGGTGTGTTTCTGGATGCTTGATAATACCCTCGAATGTGCCAACCTGTGGTTGGCTAGTCAATCATAATATCCTCAGACTTGTCAACTCTTGGTTGGCTAACCAAGATAACATCAATTCCTAAAAACCAGATCACTCTGGTTTTCCAGCAGTTCGAACAGTCAACAGTTTGAGGGTTCTAGAGAATAGCTTCAGACCGGCCATCTGAGCACCTCTTTAACCAGAAGGATTTTGACACGTCGTCAAAACCTTAAACCTTTTTTCGCACCAGCGAAGCTGAACAACAGGATAGTTTTCCTGCAGAAAAGCTGATTTGTTTAGACTCCTTAAGAGTCCTCAAACGCTCGGTTCCATCCAACTGTTGTTACCTGGAGCACGATCCTGGACTGACCTGGTCATACTAGGAGTTAGTGTACAGACTCCGGTACCGGGGCCTCCGGCCCCCTCCTGACATCTCGGATCTGAAGGGCGTCTCCACTTGGGCACATAGAACACAGTGAGATAGCGTCTGTATGCAGTTTTGATAGTAATAACGTTAGCTTATTTACAAACCAAATTATTTCACATCCACAATTCAGCTTTGTTGTGATTCTGACTCTGAATACCCTATATTCACACATAGGTTCCAGACACCCATCTCTTAGTTTGCATCCATTCACAGTAAATAATACTTTAAACAATTTGTCAAGGCTTAATTACTTGTAAAATAAATTCTTATTTTGCTTATAAACCTGCCTGTTTCTTGAATCAAAGCGAAGTGTGTACAGTCCCTGAATAAACAAAGAATCCTAGAATATTCTGCCTAATCATTTTAAGACCAAGCAGGGGATCACAGCTATTGGTCCCAAGTAGTGGTAATAATAATAAATAGCTTTAAAGCAATTTATTTAATCCAATTTACCCTCTATTGTCATTACAGCAGTGTGATCAGCCCAGTTTTATTCAACGTCCTGGTGGTGATGTGGGACGATCGATGTTTGCGGATGATGGGGCTTTCTGGAAGCGTGGTCGGAATCTTCTGTATGTTTTTCGTAAGATGCAGGAGAGCTTGGACGGTGTGGTGTACTGGGCGAGACGCTGGGGCTTTGTGTTGTCCCCTACCAATCCTAGGTATATGGTTTTGTTGAAGGGTCCTGAGGTGGGGCTGCAGTTGGAGGGACGGGGCTTGGTTACCAGGTGCCGTCGCATTCTGAATGCTATGAGGTGTCTGGCCGGGTCGGACTGAGGGGTGGACAGAGCCACTTTGATGCTGGTTCATGAGGGTATGATCAGGTCGGCCTTAGATTATGGGAGTTTCCTGCCTTCAACCCTGAAGCAGCTGGATGTGATGCAGGCAGCGGCTCTGAGGGTGTGTACTGGGGCGTTTCAGTCGTCCCCAGTGGCAGCCCTCCTTGTTGAAGCTTGGGACATCCCTTGGAAGTTTCGGTGGGTCAAGTTGCGGCTCCGTTACCTGCTGCGGGTTAAGGGCATGGGGGAGTCTGCTCCTGCAATGGCATTGTTGAGCAGACATTTGGAATTCGAGGGGTCAAGCAGAAGAGTTGGGGGTGGTTTCCCAGATCATCTGAGGAGACGGGCAGAGGACTTGGGCTTTCTCCAGTGGCCTGTGAGTTCTCATTTGGGTTCGACTGTGGTTCCGCCCTGGTTATTGGCTGAACCTGAGGTTGATTTTTCCTTCTTGGGTCAAGTTGGGGCTACTGGGAGGGCTGATGATTTTATGGGTTTTCTGGGGACAGTTTGGGGATCTTATTTACAGTTATTTACGGATGGTTTGAAGGACACAGTGAGTGGTAGAGTTGGGGTGGGGTTGGTGGTTCCGAGTCTGGGTTACAGCTGTGGCTGGCAGCTTCGGGATGGCTGTTCAGTGCTTATAGCTGAGCTGGTGGCTATTGTGTGTGCTCTACATTGGGTGGGGGAGCATGCTCCACCTCGGCCGTTTTATGCTCTGACCGGCTCCTTGCTGAGCTGTAGTTGCTGGACTGATATTTTTATTATTCTTTTAGGGTTAGATTACCAAGTCGGACCTCTGCCCTTTTGTTGAGTTTGCCATTTCAGAGTTTATTTACAGAGACACCTTTTGTTAATAAAATTTCTGTACAATAATACCTAGCCCCCTAATTTTGCGCCCACCACACTTGTGTTGCCCCTCCTGGTAATTCCTAGGCCCGGAGGGGTGTAACAATGAGCTTTAACTGACCTTTTCAGACAGAATAAGGAAGAATGTGATGGTCAGGAAAAATGAGGTCCTGTTGAGTGGACTCTACACCTTCTATCATAAGAGTGGCTTAACAGGACCAGCCTAAAGGATCTCCTCAGAGATTCTCTACATAATTTTTAAATGTCGTCTATGACTGTGATATAATGTAGTTAAGTTTGTAGTCCCAAAATTACTGCAAACACCAATGCTTTGTTCTGAGGGCAAAGGCCAAGGGGTTCTTCAACATAGCCAAGGATGGTGGCGAGCTCTGTTTTTGCTGCCTTCTCCATGACACCATCTACCAACTCTCCAAGTCACTGCAGAGATCTGTGTCAGCCCTGGCTGAAGCTCAGAGTTGCCTGTCTTCCACTCAGGCTGTCGAAGAAAAGTACAAGTCAAGGTATGCTTCCTACCACGTGTTCTTTGATTAGGTTGTGTTGGTGTGTTTGGAATAAAAACGTCAAGACCAGCTGATAAATGACACAATGGAAGAGGCCCGGTGATGCTCTGAGGAAGAGTAAAGCCTTCAGTCTCGTGGTGGCTCCAGCAACACTGATGCACCGGCGCATGTATCTGGCTCATTAGAGCGACACCCGTGTCGGTGTGCATGTCATTAAGCACCAATAAAGCTGCTATTTTGTTCATCAGAGATGCATCGAACTGTGTTTAAACGCAGGAGCGTCTCCCTCTGTCAACGGGATTAGTTTCTGCCACAAGTATAACTTTTGAAGCACAATGATTCCACTGTTATATCAAGGAGTCAGACAGAAAATGCAAGGTGGTCCATGATGGATCATTTTGTTCTGATATCGACAAAAAAGTTATAAGTTTTCATTTCCTTGTTTCATCTTGTTCCTCTTGGTGTCTGCTTGATCCATCAAAATGTTGTTTCTAAATTATTCTGTTTAAATCATTCATACTATTTTATGCATTTGTTAAATGGAACTTAAATACATTAATAAAAGAATGTTGTCGATGCTGAGACATCACAGTGAAACAGGTGGGAATTTGGCCATCCCACCGGCTGTCAGAGCAGTGGGGTGGGGGTGGGACCGGCCCAAATTGGATAAACTTGATGTTGGTAGAGGCTCGCTTTTAGGTTTGTTTGCAGTGATGTTTATAACCCAGCAGGTGTCAGTAGAGTAATATGGTGACCCAGTGTTGACATGGTATCAATACAGTTTGGGTAATGTGCTGAGATGCTTCTACCTATCACTAATTCAGTCCAGACTGTCAGCAGGTAGGAGATAAACATCTTTAAATGTGCAAACGTTTGTCTTGCAAAAAAGAAAATTGAGTAGTTTTGTGTTGGTGTGTTCTCAAATAGATGGATGGATGGATGGATGGATGGATGGATGGATTGATGAAAAGTCACCCATATGTCTGTCTGCACAACTGTAGACCTGGGCCTAAATGGAGATCAGTGCTGGTCACAGACACCTATGAGGGAGTCCTCCTGATGGCAGCCAGCATGACAAGGCAAAGAAGGAGCTGATCGACTCTGCGCATCACTGTGAGGTTTAGTGACTTGAACAGTGGTATCCTGCAAGCCATGAGACTGACCAGTGCTGGCTAGGGGCAGACACGAGTTTCGGTTAGTAATGGACCAATCTCACTAATGAATTTTAGGATTTATAACAACGTCTTAACTTCGTAGTAATGTTTCCCTTGTTCTCAGATTTTGGTGATGAGGAGATAAACAAGCTCACTAGTCACTTCTGACCTCTTCTGCTGTCTGCTGGCGTGGATGTGGTCTTGATCCCTGATCAGTGAACAGTTCTCAAGGCTAATCTGTACACAGCAGGATTTAACCAAGGTACCTGGAAAATGATGGAAAATCACATTGATGTACCTGAACAGTAACATTACTAATCAAGTGCTTAAAAGGCTTTTTTTTCTTGATTACTTGCAAGAGCATAATGTTGTCTGAGCCTGTTGCAGGAACTGTGGAGAAAACCCGGCCTACTGTGAACAGGAAGCTGCGCCGTCGGTGTCCTGACATCCTTTTTCTTACGTTAAAGTAATTAGTTATAGTTACAAATGACCCTTTTTGTCCCAGGCATTTTGTGCATGCCTGCCCCCCCCCCCCCTTCCCCCCATTCTGCTGATTGGCTGCACCTGGCAGTAAGGCGTTTCCTGTTTCCTGTTTTCAGTGTTGCACTCCGTGTAGCTGTTTGGTGTTTGGGGCTCGCTAAAGCTGATTTAATTTCTCTGTACTTGGATATCTCTGAGTTATTGTAGCACAAAAGCACGCTAAAACGCACATTTTCTGTTGTTCCACCTAGCTTTTAGGGAACCATTTGAGTCTGCACGCAGTTTATTTGGTACTGAACAGTTTGCTGCTCGTCCAGTTAGCTTAGCCTCAGCACGGCTATGGCTACTTCTGTCTCTGCTTCTCCGTCTCCTATCGCTTGCTCTCTGTGTCAGATGTTTAGTTACTCCTCTGCCTCCTTTAGTGATAATGGTACGTGTAATAAATGTAGCATTTTTGTAGCTTTGGAGGCGAGGGTGTCGGAATTGGAGTCCCGGCTCCGCGCTGTTGAAAAACCTGTAAACAGCCGTAGTTACTTAGCTAGCGCGGGGCTAACTAGCTCAGAACAACCCCGTAGCGACCCTCCAGTGGAACCCGAGCAGCCGGGACCTCAGGCCGGCTGGGTGACGGTACGCAGGAAGCATAGAACCCAGCCCGTGGGCCACCACCAACCCGTCCACGTTTCTAATAGATTTTCCCCGCTCAGTGACGCACCCACTGACAAGCCGACTCTGATCATTGGCAGCTCCATAGTCAGAAAAGTGGCATTAGAGACTCCAGCAACCATAGTTAAATGTTTACCTGGGGCCAGAGCGGGCGACATTAAATCTTATCTGAAACTGCTGGCTAAGGATAAGCATAAATACAGTAAGATTGTTATTCACGCTGGCGGTAACGACACCCGGTTACGCCAATCGGAGGTCACTAAAATTAATGTTGCTTCGGTGTGTAAGTTTGCCAAAACAATGTCGGACTCCGTAATTTTCTCTGGCCCCCTGCCTGATGGGACCAGTGACGACATGTTTAGCCGCATGCTGTCCTTCAACCGCTGGTTGTCTAGGTGGTGTCCTGAAAACAACGTGGGCTACATTGATAATTGGAAAACTTTTTGGGGAAAACCTGGTCTGATGCGGAGAGACGGCATCCATCCCTCTTTGGATGGTGCAGCTCTTCTTTCTAGGAATATGGCCAGTTTTATTAGTCCTCCATGACAACCCAGTGTCCAGACCAGGAAGCAGAGTCGTAGTTTAACCCACCCCTCTGCAGCTTCTGTACTGTTACCCACCCACTACCCCATAGAGACAGTGTCCTGCCCACGGCCAAAATCACACAGATTAAATATCAGGCTTAATAAAGCAAATCATGGAAATCTCATAAATATTAGAACAAATTCAACTGAGCAGAAAACTAGAAAAATTAAATGTGGGTTGTTGAACATTAGATCAATTTTTTCTAAGACTTTGTTAGTTAATGAGTTGATTTGTGATAATCAGATCTCTTTGCTCTCTCTCACAGAATCCTGGCTGCAGCAAGAGGACTATGTTAGCTTAAACGAGTCGACTCCTTCAAATTATTTAAATCATCACATTGCTCGAAGTACAGGGCGAGGAGGAGGAGTAGCAACCATTTTTCATTCGGACTTATTAATCAGTCCCTTACAGATTAATAGTTACAGTTCGTTTGAACATCTTATTCTTAGTTTTCCTAATCCAGATAGCAAAACTGTAAAACCACTCTTGTTTGTAGTTTTATATCGTCCACCAGGCCCTTACTCTGAGTTTTGGAACAGATCTCTGATTTTTTATCTGATTTGGTGCTAAATACTGATAAGGTCATTGTAGTGGGGGATTTCAACATTCATGTGGACATCGAAAATGATTGCCTCAATGTAGCCTTTAGTAATATCTTAGACTCAATTGGTTTTACTCAAAGAATACATAGCTCCACCCACTCCTGCCATCATACATTGGACCTTGTTCTTACTTATGGCATTGAGTGTGAGGAAATAACAATCTTTCCACATAATCCAGTCCTCTCGGACCACTTTCTGATAACCTTTGAGTTTTTTATAACTGAGTTCTCGAGACATGAAAGTAAATTTCATTATAGTCGGTCTCTATCTGACAACGCTGTTGCGTCTTTTAAATCAACTGTTCCATCTTTACTGTCCTCAGCATCTCAGAGGCATGTAGCAGAGGGCAATATTTTCAGTTCTAGCCCCTCACAAATTGATGCCTTAGTTCATCATGGGAATTCCTCTTTACGTGTGGCATTAGATGATGTTGCCCCTTTAAAAAAGAAGGTAATTAGGGACAGGAATTTGGCTCCCTGGTTTAACTCTCATCTACGAGCCTTAAAACAAAACTCTAGGAAATTGGAGAGAACATGGCGCTCTACGCACCATGAGGAGGCCTGCCTATCCTGGAAAAATAGTCTTGTGCTTTATAAAAATAAGCTTCAACAAACTAGAACTGCTTATTTTTCAGCATTAATTGAGGAGAATAAGCATAATCCTAAATTTCTTTTCAGTACAGTTGCTAAACTTACACAGAATCGTAGCTCTGAGCCATCTATTCCCTTAGCCCTCAGCAGCAATGACTTCATGGGATTTTTTACAAGTAAAATTAATTCTATTAGAAACAAAATCTTTAGCATCCTCCCTAATGCGATTTCTTCTTCCTCAGTAAGTGAGGCAGCTTCAGAGGTGACTCTAGAACCTCATCTGTGCTTGAACCGTTTTGATCCAGTTGAGCTTTCAGAGTTATCAAAAATATTAGCTTCATCTAAACCTTCAACTTGCATTTTGGATCCAATCCCAACCAAATTATTTAAAGATGCATTTCCTTTGGTTACTGCCCCCATTCTAGATATAATCAATCTATTGTAACGTGAGGAAATATGGGTTTTCTGTCACAATGGTGGTGTTGGACGCAGCTGGGTCATAGCTGGGTCGCTGAGAACTTTCACCCACAGATTAAGACCTGAACGCCAGCGAGTCTGGGAGGAAACCATAACATCTGCCACCTGCAGTCTACCAGAAGATGTGTTTACATGAGTTGTACCCAGACCAAGTCAAAACATAAAGTTTAAACTTCTTTTTCTTGATTTTAATGTTAAAGTATACATTATCATTTTGCTCATTATAAATGTGTTTTAATCAAATGAATGACTATTATGCTTTGGGGTAATTATAATGGTTTAATGAATCCATTCTTAAATAATGTTGAGAATGTTTGTTACTGACCTTCACACACACTCAAGCACAAACATTCACACACATCCACACACACCTGCTCACAGTAAACTCCAGACACATTTGATGACGCACGTTTGCTTTGAGAAGAGAAAGGTTTTTGGTAAGTTTCAGTCTTTTGATTGCAGTTCGTGTTGGGCAACGAGAGAGGAAGGACTTGTGAACAACCGCTAACGGGGAACGGAGCACATGGGCTCAATCCCCCCCCCCCCTTCTCTCACGCTGTTTCTGCCACGCCAGGCAGAATAGCTGAATCGCAACTTCTAACGCAGACTCATTACCGAGTCTTTTGATTTCTGAGTGAATTAACTTAAGAAAGCGCGTCGACAAAACGCTTTACCATCAACGTGTACCGAGGGCAACTCTGGACCGGGTCCGTTCGACACCTCGTCTCCTGTCAGCCGCCGGTGTCATCTGGATGAACCAACATCCTCCACGGCCCGGATCCGAAAGAGGGTCCACAAGAATGCGGTGAGACAGAACACGGTGTTTAGCGTTTTGATGCATCTTTTCCAACTAAAAACCTAAGTTTATTCAAACCATCACTTTTCACTCAGACACCTGTTTCTTCCTGAAGCAAAATCAGATGCACACACGCATCCATCTAACCTCAGATCACTCCCACAACATTCTCAAAGCCACTCTCGAAGCCACCGGGTAGACCCCCGGAACTTCTGTTAAAGATTGAGAAGGTCATAGACCAAGCGGATGCTCTCACCAATGAGGTCGAGCGCGACCAGCTAAGACAACTTTTGCTAAAGTACCAGGATTTTCTTTCACTTGACTCCTTGGACTGTGGTCTGACCACTATCCATGAAGTCCGGATACCTACCAGGCCAGATGCACCGCCGTCCTTTGTGCGGCAATACAAGATTCCCCTGGCGTCCATAGGACCGGTCCAGAAAATCATCATTGAGAAACAGCACCAGCCAGTGGCCTTCCTTAACAGTCAGCGCATCAGAGATGGTGTGGTGACCAATTCACGAATCGCTTCGTGGCTGCTGGCTCTTCAAAGCTTCGATATCGGGGTGCGCTACGCCCAGAACCGATGTAGCCCTCTTGGCATGGGTTTTGCTGCGTGCCAACACTCCTCGGACGACGCCATCGCGTCAGTCCCGCCAGCCAGGCCCCCTCAGACTCTTCTAAACCATCACTTCTACGACCAGAACCTGCGAACTCACCTGCTTGCAGCATTCTCGTTCGCACAGGCATCTCTGGAAAAGTCAGCTGAAGGCAGACAAACTTATTACGATAAGAAAGCCTCACATTCCGCACTCGATGTAGGTGACCAGGCCTGGTACTACATTTTCGCTCCCAAAACGGGTAACAACAATGCGACCTCGGGGAAGCTGGCTAAGAAACTTCTGCCCAGATGGTCGGGTCCATACCTGATTACAGATAAGATCTCTCCGGTCGTGTATCAGATCAAGATCGCCGACAAAAACAAGGCGCCCTTCTACAAATGGGTACACAGGGACCATATCAAACTGCACAAGGGTCCCACAGATTTGGCCGATACCAACAACAACAATCCACCGACTTCAAAAGGGGGGTGATAAATACGTCCCGTTGGTTCCACAGATTTCTATCTCTGATTACACAAATTTGTTTGTGAGTGTACATGGTTGTCTTTCCTGTTATACGTCACGTGCAGACTTAAGGTGTGTTGAGACGGACGTGCTGTGGGCTCCTGGAGTCAGGTAACAGTGAGTGGGTTAGGTCACATAGTACTGTTGTCCAAAATTTTTTTTTTTTTTATTTATCTTTACTAATCACAATTCCTTAGGGGTACATGAACATGATTACTAACCACTGATTTACATTTTAGTACTGATTTACATTTCTGTTTTTTTTTTTATAGTACCTTTGACCAGTTGATTTTAACAGTGAAAAATTATGTTTGTGATTATCAATTCTTCGATTTATCCTGCGGGGCTATAACCAATTTAGCCCTGTCCTGACACAAGTATTTACAGTGAGGATTCGCTGATACCAGATAGGGTTTCTTTCATTTTTCTGCTTCTCGCATCATTCCTTTTTGCATCTTACACAGTCAGGGCTGCATCCATTTCTTCACTTAATGGCACTGCTGGACTGACCATAGGGCATAGCGGGCAATTGCCCGCTGGGCCGACCCATTCATCTTTTATGGGCCGGTGTCTGTTTTTTTTTCTTTTTTTTTTTTTTTTCTGGCCTCTAGTTGTTGCGGACAACTTGTCCGCGCCGCCCCACGCGACGCCTCGTAAAAGTTGGTGGATTGGCCAATTGGTAATAATACACTCTGGGCTGGACCAATAGCCAGAGGTCTGATGCACCCGCCAGTTGTTTGTGAATCTCAGTAAACAGACAGACGAGCTTAACAAAATGGAGAACAAAAAACGGAAAGGAGGAGCGGAGAAAATTCGACTAAAAAAGAAACTGGCCCTTCAGGCTGATGCTGGCACATGTGTTAAAATCTCACAGTTGTTTGGTAGTGAAGGTTCAAGTAAAATCAATTTAGGAAGTGATGGAGCCTCAGCCCAGCAACAGGTTGGAGAAGAAAAGAGGGAGGAGGAGAAACCCGAGCCGGTGTTGTGCCATTAATCGACTCGCTGCCAAAAAATGATTAGCCACCGCGGGATCGCGCACGGTGAGGTAATTGCATTTCTAGACAAAATTCCCCAGGATTTCGCCCTAAAACTCGGCATATCTAGCAATATGGACATTCAGAAAGCAAAGATAACCTCTTCCGGTACTTAAACAGATGTTTATCGCGGATATTAGTGTGGCAGTGTTGGTGGCACCCTGCGCGGGCGCTCGAGGACGTGCTTGTGGAAAGAGGGAGGAAGATGTGACAGTGTGAGCATCCTGTCACAATGTCCCGATTGATCTTGCGCCCTGGCTACTTGGCCAGAGGGATGTCCCTTTGGCTGAGTGGTTAGAGCGTATGACTCTCACCCCAAAGGTCTGGGGATCGAATCCCGCTCGGGCCTTGTTTCTTCA